TCTTTTCAAGTTAGGACGACAGATCATGTTACCGCGTTGAGAATGAATTTTTGATCTAGTCCAGCGTTTATTAACCAGCAATATAGAAATTTCCATTGAATGACTAGAATGGAAAAAAATTAGACACCTCGCAGGTCTAATCACCTCAGTCATGTTATTAGGAGTAAAATAACATGCATCATGTCTTTATTAGATCAAATTGGAGGGTTTTCTTTGGGGTTTCCCTTAAATCCAAAACCTCGAGTGGCGGCGGTAGTACCGACGGAGGGTAAGAAAATTTTACTTTGTTTATGGAAACATAAAATGGACATCTTCAGGTGTGGTTCAAAAGAAATACACAACATATATAAACACACACACACACACATATATACACACAATAAATACACACACACACACACACATATATACACAATAAATACAACAACACACACACCACACAACACACACACACACCACACACACACACACACACACACACACACACACACACACACACACATATATATATATATACATATATATATATATATATATATATATATATATATATATATATATATATATATATATATATATATATATAACATTTTCACACGGCTAGTTACCTCGCCATGTGTGCTGCGGTCCCGGATTTTCAGCGACCACAGAGCCACCAACATGCTTCTTCTGTTTCGAAGTTGTTTTGGTTCCCTCCACAACCGCCATAAATAAACCTGTATGTGTTGTGGTATGAAAAATATATTTATATATATGCTTATTTCATCATTAAAAGACATGTTTTCTGATAATTCTCTTATTTCATATTTCAGGGAAAATGATGGAAACAAGTAAGAGGCAGAGAGATAGATAGAGAGCAAGAGAGAGAAAGAGAGAGAGAGAGAGAGAGAGAGAGAGAGAAGAGAGGAGAGAGAGAGAGAGAGAGAGAGAGAGGAGAGAGAGAGAGAGAGAGAGAGAAGAGAGAGAGATTGGGATGGGAGACAGAGACAGATTAGAGAGAAAGAGATAGGATAAGGGGAATGGATATGAGAGAGAGAGAAAGAAAGAGAATGGGACAGGAGATACAGACAGAGACAGACAGAGGGACTGAGAGAGAGAGAGAGAGAGAGAGAGAGAGAGAGAGAGAGAGAGAGAGAGAGAGAGAGAGAGAGAGAGAGAGAGGAGAGAGAGAGAGAGAGAGAGAGAGAGAGAGACAGACAGACAGGACAGGCAGAGACAGAGAGAGAGAGAATGGGGGAAGGGAGAAGAAAGAAACATAGCCAGACAAAGCAGACAGAGAGAGAGCGAGCGACAGACAGAGGCGGACAGATAGAGACAAGAACAGACAGACAGACAAACAGAAAACTTACGGTAGACATTCGTTCTTATCGAAGTTATAGTAAAACATGGGGAAGCTGGCTTTGCAAGGCCCAACAACCTTGGGCTGATGACACACAATCTCGGCGATATCTGAAGAAATAAAGAAGAGTAACAGGGATAATGAAAATGATAATAGGGTGATGGTAATAACAATAATAGGCTAATGATAATAACAAAGAGGGTGATGGTAAATACAATAATAGGCATGATAAAGACAAAGAAGTAAATACAATAATAGGCTAATGATAATAACAAGAATGATGCTAAGAGTGATGATAGGCTAATTAATAGTGATGGTAAATACAATAATAGGCTAATGATAATAACAAAGAGGTGTGATGGTAAATACAATAATAGGCTAATGATAATAAACAAAGAGGGTGATGTAATAACAATAATAGGCTAATGATAATAACAAAGAGGGTGATGGTAATAACAATAATAGGCTAATGATAATAACAAAGAGGGTGATGGTAAATACAATAATAGGCTAATGATAATAACAAAGAGGGTAATTGTAGTAACAATAATAAGGTAATGGTAATAGCAATAATAGTAATGATGATAATGATAACATTAGTAGCAATAGTCGTAGGTGTAATTATAATCATTATAATGCTAATCGTGATAATAATGATAATGAAAGCTGTAATAATAATGATGATAATTTTTTTTTTAAATAGCTATAATAATAATGACAACAATACTTATAAGGAGGATATGAATGGTAATAATAACAGTTATAATTACGGAGGTGTTAAGGGTAACGAGCATAATAATAGTTACTGTTGCATTCATTCAAAACATTCCTGAATCCTGGATCATAAACCGGATTAAACTAAGATTAAATAGAATCAGGCTAAGAAACACCTCTGGTAAAAAAAAAAAAAAAAAAAAAAAAAAAAAAAAAAAAAAAAAAAAAAAAGAAGAATATATATATATATATATATATATATATATATATAGTATATATAATATATAGATAGATATATAGATAGATAGATAGATAGATAGAGAGAGAGAGAAGAGAGAGAGAGAGAGAGAGAGAGAGAGAGAGAGAGAGAGAGAGAGAAAGTTATTCTGCTAACCGACGAACAAACATACTAACCAACGCGACCAAAAACATAACCGAGCTAATAATAACAATTATGAATACAACAAAGATAATAACACACACGCACACAAAAAAAATCCGAACACACTCACAGAAAAAAATAATTATCTACATAGTTATTCCACATATCACACTTTTGGAATACTTATAAGAAAAAATATTCTTTATCTCCTTTTGGGCGAAGAAAAGCAAAGGAGATGGGAGACGAGACTCAGGAAAAGGAATAAACGCCACTGCCGGGAAGAGAGAAAAAATTATTAAGTTCGTATTCCATTTCTGAAAGCGGAGGTGAGACATAGGGAAAAAACTAAACGCACTGGGAAAAAGAAAGAGAGAGAGAGAGAGAAATTAAGTTTGTAATTTGTTTTGAAAGCGGAGACGAGACTCAGGAAAAGGAATAAACGCACTGGGGAAAGAGAGAAAAATGATTAAGTTCGTATTCCATTTCTGAAAGCGGGAGTGAGACATAGGGAAAAAATAAACGCACTGGAAAAAAAGAAAGAGAGAGAGAGAGAGAGAAATTAAGTTTGTAATTTGTTTTGAAAGCGGAGATGAGGAAGGAAAAGGAATAAAACGCACTGGGGAAGAGAGAAAAAATTATTAAGTTCGTATTCCATTTCTGAAAGCGGAGGTGAGACATAGGGAAAAAAATAAACGCACTGGGAAAAAGAAAGAGAGAGAGAGAGAGAGAAATTAAGTTTGTAATTTGTTTTGAAAGCGGAGATGAGGAAGGAAAAGGAATAAACGCACTGGGGAAAAAGAGAGAGAAAAATTATTAAGTTCGTATTCCATTTCTGAAAGCGGAGGTGAGACATAGGGAAAGAAATAAATGCACTGGAAAAAGGAGAGAGAGAGAGAGAAACAAATTCAGTTTACATTTTCTTTTGAGAGCGGAGATGAGGAAGGAAAAAAATAAACGCACTGGGAAAGGAGAGAAAGAGAGGAGAGAGAGAGAGAGAGAGAGAGAAATTAAGTTTTGTATTTTGTTTTGAAATCGGAAATGAACTCAGAAAAGAAATAAACGCACGGAAAGGAGAGAGAAAAATATTAAGTTCGTTCTCCATTTTTGAAAGCGGAGGTGAGACTACGAAAAAAAAAATAAACGCACTGGGAAAGGAGAGAAAGAGAGAGAGAGAGAGAAATTAAGCTTGTATTTGTTTTGAAAGCGAGATGAGCAGGAAAAGAAATAAACGGAAAGGAGAGAGAAAAATATTAAGTTCGTTCTCCATTTTGAAAGCGGAGGTGAGACTACGAAAAATAATAAACGCACTGGGAAAGGAGAGAAAGAGAGAGAGAGAGAGGGGAGAAATTAAGCTTGTTATTTTGTTTTTGAAAGCGAGAGAGGAGACTCAGGAAAAGAAATAAAACGCACGAAAGGAGAGAGAAAAATATTAAGTTCGTTTTCCATTTTTGAAAGCGGAGGTGAGACTAGAAAAAAAAATAATAATAAACGCACTGGGAAAAGAAAGAAAGAGAGAAAGAAACAAATTAAGTTTACATTTTGTTTTGAAAGCGGAGATGAGACTCAGGAAAAGAAATAAACGCACGGAAAGGAGAGAGAAAAATATTAAGTTCGTTCTCCATTTTTGAAAGCGGAGGTGAGACTACGAAAAAAAAAAAAAATAATAATAATAAACGCACTGGGAAAAGAAAGAAAGAGAGAGAGAAACAAATTAAGTTTACATTTTGTTTTGAAAGCGGAGATGAGACTCAGGAAAAGAAATAAACGCACTGGGAAAGGAGAGAGAAAAATTATTAAGTTATAATAATGATAGCAATAATGATTGTAGTAAAAAAAATATATGATAACGTTAGTAATAATAACAATAGTGGTAATAATAATATTGATAACTATATAATAATTCCAATAATCATGATAATAATAACAACAACAATAATACTGATAGTAGTGATAATAATGATAACTAACAATAATAAGTATTATCAATATCATCAATATTGACGATAATACTTATAGTATTAGCGATTCTAACAATTAAATCATAAAAGGGCTGTAGTACACAACTACTACTCTCATTCACACATTATCATATCTTTCACACAACCGAGAAACTCTCACAACTGCTACCATTCACACATAATTATTCTCACTCACACATTACCTTTTCCTAAACACTCAAGACCGAAAAACAATTACTCTCACTCACACATTATCATGCCTCATACACTCAAACCACTCACAATTATTCTCACTCACACATTACCTTTTCCTATACACTCAGGACCGAAAAACAATTACTCTCACTCACACATTATCATGCCTCATACACTCAAACCACTCACAATTATTCTCACTCACACATTACCTTTTCCTAAACACTCAAGACCGAAAAACAATTACTCTCACTCACACATTATCATGCCTCATACACTCAAAACTCTCTGAACTACTCTCATTCACAGATTACCTTTTCCTGCACACTCAAAACCGAAAAAAAACTGTCATTCACAGATTACTTTTTCTTATACATTCAAAACCGAAAAATTCATGATTACTCCCACTCAT